ATTGCAGGTACGGTTGACCATGTTTACCCATGTCCTATACTATATAGGTACCATTTAAAATTAATAATAAATTGAACACTGCATTTTCAGAGGTTGGTGAAACGGGGGTGTGTGCGTCAAGAAAAGTATCGGTTTTTGGGTACGACTATATTATTATTATATAAACGATATGACATCAGTAAGACGCAGTCGTAAGAGGAACAAAAATATAAAGGCCGTCGGTATTTTGTGGCGAGAGCACGTGTCATTTGTTATTCGCGGTTCAAACGACACGTCGATCGCGCCTAAAAAATCAATTAATCATTGCGTGTAAATAAAAGACACATTAAGCCGGCAGTAAGTAGTCATATTAATATAAAAGAGGGGTCTTGTATATGCGGCAAGACCTGGCAATAATCCTCCGGACGGGGGTGGTGTAAGGGCGGACGGGACCGCACCGGGGACTTTGGGACGCGAGTGTTTTCGCACTATAAAAGAGGTTTTGGTTTTGATAGTCTAATAAATTACTCGCCGGTAACCCTCATCGACGAGGATTTGTGCAAGATTGATGGGAAAAGATAAACGCGAAAAAAGAGAGTGAGTGAGTGAGAGAGAGAGAGACTTTGGATGATGATAATAATAATAATAATAATAATAATAAAAAAGCAAAAGGAATATAAGAAAAGATACTATGCACACACACACTTCGGTTTGGTGCACGCGCCATAAACATTTCACTTACGGTGCGCATAGGTTAGGTCTTTTATCCGATATGTTGTTGGGGAAAGGGAAAAAAGTCATATTTATATGCACACGCGGCCCGCGAATCTCCTATACGCGACCCTCGGGTATACCAGACCACCCTCATTTTCGTCATTGATAAACAAGACTTGCAATCTGGTCGTCAACTGCATAATCTCTTCGATACTATTACAAATATATACACTGCACCCACACTGTTCGGGGTCCGAGATGGGTCCTGCATGCGTTAAGCACGAGAAATGATTTATATTTACAAATAGGTGTAATAACATATTATTATTATTATTATTATTATTATTATTATTACTACACGACTGAATAAACGAGAAAATTGTACAGGCATATGTTATCAATGTATTACAACCATAATTCGGTTGTACCAACTGGTTAATAATATTATGGTTATTGTCTTGCGTACTCGTTTACATTACCTCCAGACTCCCGCTCACTATTATTATTTATTTCTGTTCAGGTGACAAGTCGTTCTCTATAACTCACCGTCATCAATGTAACATTCAATATGATTTGGTAGGCTCATAGAATAAATTATGTACTTGAGCCTTTTAGTCGTCGTTTACTAAATACTAAGAAAAATCAACGATAACAAGTATTCTGATGATGAATTTAGAGATGCTCATTAATGATTCGAAGGAAGTGCTGTACTGCAAAGGCAACTACAGTATCTGTTTAATTAAGGTGACAATAAGGTTGTTGGTCCCGTCTGTATTTGTAGGTGGTATATTGAAAAGAATATTGAAAATCGATACACTGCTGTATTTAAATTGTCCCATTCTAAAACGTACTACGTCGAATAAAAAAGGTTGGATGTTTTTTCTTTTTTTGTTATAGTAAATTTTATTGAGTATCCAATAGGCTAAAATAGGTACTGCTTTTCGATTTGCATTCTCTGAACTTTGTTAAGTAATATTGTTAGTATGGGTATTCATTAATTTGCTTGAAAAAAATCTCACTGTCCATGTTTCTGTCCTACCTACTTTATCAAAACAAAGTTTCTCAAACTTCAAGCCTGTTAAATTTGTCTGTATTTTATCAAGAACTTTCAAGACATTTTATATGATTGAACTTTGTGCTCGTTATTATAATAAATATCAACTTCTTACGACATTTTTCTTAACACTCATGAATTTTCTGTCACTCTTCAAAAACTTTATGGAATTTAAATTTTAAAAGTTTACGATACCTACTTGTATACCTGTACATAATACATCAACAGCAATGTCAAATAAACTAACTTAGACAAGTGTTGAAATGTCTTATAAGCGTATATTATAAAATTGAAAAATATTACATTATGTAAATTTGATCTCATGATTGATTTTTTTGATAAAAATAAACTATAATATAATATTATTAAATACTTTTAAGATGAAATACAATTATTATTTATTATTGTTCTTTTTAACAATCACTTGCATACATCTACCTGCCTGATTAACCCTAACCCTATATAATATATTAGTTATTAAAATAATCGTAATTGTAATTTTTTTTAATTAAATGTATAGTTAGTTTTTATAACAGATTATACATATTGAAACACACCTTCCTCGTTATTTTGAAACAATTTACTGTCGATATTAATAATTATAGTATATTATTTATACTTAATTAATTATAACCAGTTGAAGAGTAGTTGGTTGGCTAATTCCCACTACAAGTGCCGGTTCTGAAAAGCGGATTGTTGGACTGATATAAATACAGTTTACTAGGTTATATTGTACAGATCCTAGAAACTTTTAAGTTATAACTATAGAGAAATATAGCAAGTACCTATACAAAGAAAAAAATAATTAAAATAAAATATAATTAAAAATAAATGATGGTGATTATGAGAACTCTGAGATGTAAAAATATAAATATTAAATACACACACTGGAGGGGAGGTAAAATTCTTTCGTCTCGGCTTTGAATTGTGTCAGGACTTATTTCATCGTTGCGGTGTGTGGGGACCTTTAATCGGAATATTTGTATGGTTATTAAACCGAAATTAAGATATTTTTTTCCCACTAAATCGTTTTCATAGAAAATTCACAAGATCCATGTATCAATACTAAGTAATAATAATTAGATTTAATATTGATACCAAAGTTCGAAATAATATAAATTTGGTTTTAGCAAGAAAAAATAAATATTGTAATAGAATCAAAACGCATATAGGTACCTACACATAATTCAATATATGTAATTTCTTTAAGTTACAACAAGCCAGAGCAGAACTTTCTCAGAAACTGATTCATGTTTTTAGTGAACCGATTTTTCAAATATGGTACGCACGTACACATAACCGAGGAAACGTGTAAATAAAACGTATGATTTGCCTGAAAAAGGCAGAAATATTACGGTAACCGTTGCTTGGATACGAACGGGACATTGCACAGAATGATGCAAAGCACAGTTGTTGCCATAAATATATTTGTGTACTATTATAATATATATGCGAGAGTGTAAGCCTGTGACCTAATCCCGTGTGCACTGCCTTTGCATAATATTCATGTACGAGACTCAGCTAAAGTATATTTATGTTTTATTTCCACATGAGAATAATATTATGTCAGTTAAGCCAACAAGCGAGTTCGAGAAATAAATACAAAAATTGTATTACGAATATAGTCTCGGTTAAATACAATTTATATACCGCCTACATTTTATTATTTTAAACATATTATAATATTATACATACTAAAAAACGTATTTGCTTAAAATAAAGTAAATCGACTTTAACGTATATATTAAGAGCGTAAGATGTATTCAAAATTGTGAAATTAATAATATCAAGTAATATAAAAAAGTATAGTGATTTTGTAATTGTAGTTTTTTGTGTTTTCGTTCACTATTTTGAATAATTCAATTTAATAGATTTAATCATAACTGATATTTTATAAAGTTAACAGTGCTCAACTAAGTTGTCAATAGTTATGATAAGTCTCATATTGAAAGATACTTGGCTAACAAAGGCATTAAACATGTATCAGTAAGTATCGTTGTTAAGACAGGACTTTGTTTGAGATGTTTGACATTGGTCTGAAAAATCATATTGGAAACTTGTTGTTATTACTTGTTAGAGACTTGAATAGGAATGAAAGACAACCGGTAACAATGTGATTTAAATTCATCAATACAATACATTGCACTTAATTATCTTACAATTTTTTTCATATTCTGTAGATATGTACTTAGATATGTAGATCCTGTACTTAGTCGTTTATCACAATATTTAAAATTCTAATTATAGTTTAAATTTTCTACATGGCTATGTTCATATACTGAGAACCAAGCTATCTCTATGACAAACTTTTAAACAAAGCTAAATAATTAAATAAGTTAAGTTGCAAACAAAAATAGTGAAAATACATTTTAAAATTAACGATTTTTTAATTAATATTAATATTTATTAACTATATATTAAATATTATAGGTAGGTGGTAAAAAATTAAAAAATGTACTTATTGAACACCCCCCCCCCCTTAGGCACGCCCCTGCTACCTACTATTATGAATATTGTTTATACATTTAAATTATTTGTATTAGAAAATCATACATATCTGTTATTTTGGTTATGTTTATTTATTCATTTTGACAATTATAATGAACTCATCGTTTAACTATTAAAACAACTTTAATGTCTTTAACTAGGTATTTAAAAAACATAACTCTAATGCTGATTGTTACTTATGAAATTATAAATTGTCAATTTTCTTTACCATCCATAAGGGAGTATCATTGAGTTTTTTCTTAGATTTCTATTAGGACAATATTTTATTAAGTGCCTATAATAAAAAATAATATAAAATAAACAAAAATTAGTACGTACACTTTCCAACTTGAGTTCCTAAACTGTTCTAATAATTACAAGAAATGACACAAATGCGATATTAACACAACTCAAAAGGCAGATTGTAATTATTAAGTATTATAGTATCCAGTAAGTTCAAGTAGAACATAAGTTACGAGTTTTTTTTGTTGAAATAACATCCTAATTACTAATTACTTAACACGTTATTAGTATACAATGCTCAATAAATACAATCACTGTATTCACACCATTACACCAATCATGGTATTATTACCATAACCACTTACTATACTAAATTTTAATTTGCTATATCGACACAAATTCAATGTCTTCACAAAAGGTATTTTTGCCGATCTCCAAATATATCATATAGGACTATAGCACATTCATATTATACTGTACATCATAATATAAATTATAATTATCATCAATCATCAATCCTTACCCGTTGAACGGAGTCCAGCCGTTTCTTTGGACAGCTGATACTTGGACTGTTGTCCATCGGGTTTGGAGTTCATCGCGATGGCGGTCGGCAGTATCTGAAAACAGTTAAAAGAGAAAAAAAGGGTTTCAAACTATTCGCGGTCATATTATGATATTCGCTAATCATGTAATTTGTTAGCGAGTGTATGTGTGCGTGCGTGTGTAAGTGCGATAAGGCGAGGTGCATAGAAGGGTCGTAAGTGGTCGTTGTGTACACTGCAGTGTGGGGAGTGGTGGGGAAGTTTAGGGTGTAGTCTGTACCCACACAACATAATAATATTATAATATTATATACGTCGTTGTTTTGTTTAACGTGTGCCTGCAGAGGTTTATGTATATATACACGTCTTCATGTTGCGGCAGGACTCGATAAGACGTACGGTTTGTCGCAAGAGGTACCTTATATAATATGCTTGAATGATTGCCAATAAAATTAAATAAAATTTATAATACGAGACAAACAAAAATAACTCATAATAAATAATAGAATAACAACAACAAATATATTTATAACAATATCAATTTGTTACAACATTTGTCACGAAAACGAACCTATAGAAAGAAATGGATGGAAAATAATAATTGTTTGCGATATTTCCTTGTGTCAGTGACAGTGGCGTCATTAGTTCTGGGGGGGGGGNGGGGGGGGGTAGCCGAGTTAGAAATGTTATCCCATTGTTATTGAGATCGGAATTTGTACTTAATATTAAATAATTATATTATGAGTTGTTTTGTGATGCATTTTAATATTGTTGTCATATGGATCGATTTCATAATTTCATACTATAATATATATGTTATGCTGATTATCATTGTTATAACTTATGAGTTATTATAAAAATTAAATATAATAGTATACCTAATATAATATATCATGCATTGATGCCATATAAATTATCAATTTCTGTCATAAATCTAAAAAGGTTAGTAAATGATGTGTATCTAAACATGTACTTTCCCGGCTACCCATGTACCTACTAATGGAAATTCTTCGACCAACAAGAGGATTCCCTTAAATTGGAAACCAAAACGTTAAAAGCAGGACATTTTTTGTATCATTCAGATAATAAGTACAAGGAATAATATGGGAAAATGTGAAATGACGCCACTGCCAACTTACTCAGAAGACGAACGGTACAGTTTATTTGATACGATTATTGTAACCATCATACAATAATTTTAAGAGTTCTGATTGCGTAATACTAAGGCTAATAATAATAATAATAATAGTAATAGATTTTATCATATCAATAATATTATAATACGGTCGTTGCAGCGGTAGACCGTTTTCCCGCCGCCGACGACGATGAGCAGAGTCGCGTATTTACCGGATTATTCAGACACGAGTTTCTTCGCTGCTGAGACGGCAGTAAGTCTTGTCGTCACGGCTGGACGGTGATCAAGACTTGTGGGAGTGATGAAGTGGCACGGCAGTGGTGACGGTGCGATAAAGTGCAGTGAGCTCGAAGACGACAGTCGGCTGCAGACGAGCGAATGTCGTCGGAATGGATTTCGCCAGAGAGAAAACAGGGCACGTCGTGATATTCCCCCCCGCGAGCTCCGGGTCGAAACCGCCCCCGTCGGACCTACCTGCGCGGGGCCCGGCGTAGGCGTGCTTGCCGCGCTCGCGCACGTCGACCGCCCTCCCACGGGCGCGAGTCCGCCTACAACCCCTTCATCCCCCAGATAACCCCCCCGATAAAAGCCCCCCACCGGCCAGTCACCGGTCGCGTTTACCCCTTTTCGTCCACTCTAATCAAGGCAGCGGTGGCAGACCTATATATATATAATATTATACAGACTAATACGATATCGATTAGTTAGTAGGCAGCAGGAAGGCGGGGAACTCGAGCCGTAGGACAATTTTTTGCTCACCGCCGACTTTTTTGCGTATTGTGATCGCAGGCCTATATTATATTCGTGTACGGACGGAACGACCTAAATAAAAACACGACTCCTGTGCTATGATATAATTCATCGGTGGTGAATCATAAATCATAAATATCCTGTTGACGGACTTCGTTTTATAATAAAATATATATAATATTATATATAACTCTCTGGGGGAAAAAAGGGAAAGAACGAACTGTAATCATACTATCAATAATTTATACAAACCAAAATAATTAAGAAAATAACTAAATATGATTTTGAGAATTACTATGTGACCGTATAGTACAGCTGTAGGTAATAGATAAATAGGTACCTAATCACTGCCGGTCTTAGATTTTTTGTCACCCTAGGCAAATCTAATTTATATTCATATATAAATATATATCTAATTCCTATTCATTAGTTAAATCGTTTAGGTGAGAGGGAGGCAAGTAAATATTAAAATAAATGTAATGTGAAAAAAATACAAGCTACCTATAGCTTATAATCGACATGGCGACATTAAGCTGCAACTATCGCAAATTATAAAAAAAAAAATATGGAATAAATGCAACTACAATAACCAAAGTACATCAAATTAAATTTATTTTGCCAGCCTTTTCTTGTGCAAAACTAGTCAATAATTGTTTTAACTCAAAATCCGACAGAAATTGGAACATTTGTGGACAAGCTACATCAATTGAGCGCAGTAGGAATCAATTCAAAATATGCAAGAAACCAACCACCTACGGAATATACCCCATGTGATCATGGGGAGTTACCCTTACTGTAAAACATCTGGTGACAGAGTGCAGAGATGAAAGAGAAAAACATAATAAAGTAACGAACCTGTATGAAAAAATCGGACCCGACTGTCAGCCAGAAAACGTCATGTCATTCCGCAGGAGCATCGAAATGAAGAAATACATTTAAGAGAAACACAAACAAATAATTATAAGTTCCATATTATTGTAATCGAATTGTTACCAAAAATAAATAAAATATAATGTATAAGGCTCAAAAAAAAAACAAATAAAATAATATAAAAATATAAAATATAATAATAATAATATAATTTTAATGTTATCGTAGTAGGCAATGGCAAATGCACAAGGTAAAGCTATTATAATAATATTTTTCATCTACTTCGTCTACTTATTATTTAGCCATTGTGTACAATGCCAGCATAAGTAAAACGTTTTCCTACTTTGATCACTAAAACCGGGCACTAAGCACAATACCAGATTTCATATTTTGATGGTATGCATAAAAATTTAAGAATAAATCATTACTGCACTATAAATCAAAGCCCGAAGGCCAAAGGGTAGACTGTAATCTAAGTATATTATTATTCAAGGTGAGAATGTGACAATAGCTTGTAATATTTCTTTTGCTTTTAATAATAATAATTATTATTGCATAAGAATAAGAATATTTATTATACTTATTCAAATTATGAACACAATTTATAAATAATATTACTTATACACTATTTAATATAAATATATAATATTATATTCCAGTTATACGATCGTATAAATAATCATATTTAATAATGATTTTAAATTAAATTAATTTTAAATTCTAAGTATTACATTCATCTTTCAAACTGACGATATATTATAAAGTGTTAGCTCTGTTAACACCTATTATTTATATTTTGGATGGACAATGGAGTTCACATTCTAAAATTATCATTGTTATTAAATACGACCTCTTGTTTTGATAGTAGACAATGTTAATATTTAATAATAATAATCAAATATTTATGCATACGCCTTAGTATATTTGAATGATAAAAAAATGCAGTTTGAGCAACAAATTATTATATATACATTATATATTATAACAGTTATAATATAACAGCATAGATTTTATTTTTAAAGAATTCCCTTGTTATAACAGTGTAATTTTAAATTCTGAGCGGAGCGATTTGGCAACGGTGGGTGTGTTTTTTTGTGTATGGACACGCGATAATAGTAGTCGATATAATCCTTCGATTTTCAACTTCAGTTTATTTTCTGATGGGAAGATGAATCTAGTAAGTACTTTAGAAATGTCAGAAAACATCAATACATGACTACATCAACACTCATTTTATTTGAAAATCGAAAAATGTAATAGAATTTTCTACGTAATTTGATTATTTAATTAAAATGAAAGAATTCGATGATTATAAACTAAGAAAAACGATTTAACACTTCACAGAAGAAACCAAAAAATTGTAAAATGTTCTAAATATTGTTGAATAACCCGAAAGTATAGTACCTACTATAGTACCTACTTGTATAACAATGAAGTGAGTAGAATTTTACAACCTATGAAATGTGATGCTATATAGTATTTAATGAGTATCAGAAAAACGGATTACTATCCAATCGGATAGCTATGGTTTTTGTTTTCAAATAATATTTTTTATAAATATTTAATGGATAATAATTCACAGTCTTTTACGAAGAATAAACCATAGACTTATAATAATGTAATAGTATTGTTGTGTTATTCGATGACTGAAATCTTTATTTTTCGTGGCCATTTTTCGGGCTTATAGCTTTCGCTTTTCAGTGAAGCCAGTCTCGCACCCGGGTGCAGAACACGTGACGAAAAGAACGTGACCCGCGAATAAGCAAAATTTAGTTTCTCGTGAACTATGTCACACAGCATTATACACAGCGTACCTTTAATATGTATTTTTTTTTCGTCCGATGACAGCGTTCGCGCCAATAACAATAACAATATATTATTATAACGACGCCGGCGAGGGACTTGCAGCAGCAGCGAATATAATATATTTGTTGCGAATACCGTAACGTACACGATATGAAGGGGTTGGATGGACAGGGTGGCCTTGAGGATGAGAGGGGGGGAGGTCTTTCGCGAGGGCGTGATCTGGCTAGGGCCGTGGCAAAGGCGATTCGCTTTTTGGCACGTATTAACATTTTTTAACAAAACTTTCCGAGGAATTGGCAATAGTAGACGTCGTCGTTGTCGTCGTGACACTAAACGCTAATCAATTTTTCTCCTCGACTTTCGCAAGTTTCCAGAACGTCAAAGCCTCCAAACCGACCTCTCCCACACCCTCCTACATATCACACATGACCAGGTCATGTGGCCCATATTTGTATGTTTATTTATTATTTTATATTGTATACATTGAACTTATCCAATAAACCGCTCTCATCCAGCACCCTATAGCACGTATCGAACTGTATCGTATTATTATTTATACATATAGGTACGGTTTGATCTAGGTGGTAAATCACATTTCGAAAATGGTGCGTCGGCCGTAATCCATTTGCAAATGATGTTATTATATTGTACACATATAATAGTATTATAATACCTTCCTAAAAATTAAACTATATTTACAGGGTGATCCTTTTAACGTAAGACAACTAATCACTTATTATTTCAGAAATACTAACGTTTTTGAACATATTTCTTTTACCTTCAAAATTTTTGGTAAAAAAAAAATTATATTTTTTCTGACAACATACACCTACATTTTTTGTTTCATTTTCTGAAGTAAAACATTATTCAGTCTATAAAAATCAAATTTTGGTCGAGTATGGTTTATTAGTTATAGGTATTTACATTTTAAATAAGCTGAGTAGTTGACCAACAGCTTGTGGGGTACCCCAGTACCACTCCACCCAGCTCATCGTTATTTTAAATACTTATAAATAGGGTGCGGATTTGTATGTATTTACATATTTGTCTTGCATGATAATATTCGAATGATTCCTTTATAGAAATACGTTACAGGATTTTCTGATTATTTTAAGCAATGTTTGATATTACATATTTTCACATACTTAATCTTAATTACATATTTTTACATTTTTTACTAGTGTTACATATTTTTGTTAAATATTGAGCTATTTACAAAATTAATAATGTATCACCATTTTATATTATGTGTTGTTTTCTCCAGGTTAAATTAGATCAGAATTTTCCGAAGTTGAATTTTTTATATCAACTAAAAAAAATTTTCCTTAAAGCACCCTGTCATGTAAATTTATTTAAAGAAAATTACCCCCAAACACCTCTTCCCCCGGAGCCAGTGATAATCTCGCTGGGGTACTTGGTTACATGCTGCAGCTGCATATTGTTGCGACAATTTAAGTGTCATTGAAAATATGATTTCCAAAATTGAAATAGATGTTGTTTCAGCATCCTAACTTCAGTGAATAAATACTTAATTTGAATGTATTCTCAATAATTAATGTTACTAAAATAGCAATAAAATGTAGTGTTGTATAATTTATATTTACCTACTTATTTAATATACTAATTTTACAATTTTTATTTTCAAGAATAAAAACCTTTTTTTACATATTCTGTATTTTTAATTATTAAATATTTGTATAAAATTAAATACATATATATGTACATATTTTTGAATTTTGAATACATACAAATCCGCACCCTACTTATAAATCATAAGCTACTACGAAATTTGAATTTTATACATCAAAGTACACATGCAAATATTTTGCTTTGGAATAAGAAATTAAAAAATACGCTGCCATTATAAATAGTAAACGATATTAATTTTTAAGCACTCTAATAAATAAAATAAAATAATAAAATATACTGAAATATTTTCAAAAACGTTAACAGTTTTTGAAA